CGAAAATCCGGCGGCATGTTCAATTTACATGTCACAAGGAAATTTAGAAGACAATTATTAGACACAACGCATCCCTATTCGTAGCACAGCTCGTAAATATGTATGTATGTATGTATTTATGTATGTATGTGTGTATGTATGTATGTATGTATGTATGTATGTATGTATGTATGTATGTATGTATGTATGCGTGCGTGCGTGCGTGCATGCGTGCGTCTGTGTGTGTGTGTGTGTGTGTGTGTGTATTATGTATGTATGCATGTATACATGACGCTGCTTCTTTTTACTCCTAGTTGGTTTATAAACCGGGGTGTGGTATATCAATACTGCACACATAATTTATTTTGCTACTTCCGATGCAATGGTGTATACTTTACTGGAAGGTGCAACGTCCAAGTAAGTAATCGGCATTGTTAACAAAAGAGGGAAAAGAGAAAGGGTGACGTATTTGGTACATGTGTTAATGGGTCAAAAGAGGTGGGAATGGCTAATAATTAATGGCGTCAACCATTGCTATCTTTCCCCGTTACAGGATTAGCTAGGAAGTGAATCCAGCAGCTGGAAAGGACACCGGGGTCATGAGGTCAGTCAGAGCCCACCAGATTCATTTCACTTTGGGCCACTCAGTGCAAACGTTCAATTACGGTAGTAATTGCTTTGACTTTTGAACTTAATTGTTTCGCCATTTCTTGTCGTCTGACTTGCAGTCTACCATTTTGACAATCATCTGTCTGAAACTCGTACTGTAAACCTAATATGTTAGAGTTTCTTCCCCTGTGCCCCACTCTCTCTCTCTCTCTCTCTCTCTCTCTCTCTCTCTCTCTCTCTCTCTCTCTCTCTCTCTCTCTCTCTCCCTCTCTCTCCCTCCTTCCCTTGCCCCTTCCCCATCTCCCCCTATCTCTCTCTCTCTCTCTCTCTCTCTCTCTCTCTCTCTCTCTCTCTCTCTCTCTCTCTCTCTCTCTCTCTCTCTCTCTCTCTCTCTTCTCTCTCTCCCTCATTTTGGCTGTGCTTAAAAAACAAGACAAAATCACCTGAGCAAAACTGATCCCGACGAAGTCAGTCAATCAAGAAGCAAGCTTATGTCTGTCAAATCTCAGTTGGGCCTGTACCGTCGAACATCTTCCATATCTAAAATGCTGTTGCATTTAGATCGCGCTTTTATTCGCCTTGTTTTCCTTTATTTCAGATTTAGGTTCTAAATGACATATCCACCATGAAGACAACTAATAAATGGCAAAATAAATGTCTGCCCATGTAAATCAGAGATAATGAATTATGTTCAGACCATCGATTTGCTAATACTTTACTTGCACACACGAAGAAAGCTTCTGAGCAGTCTTCTATACGTGTATTCAGGGACGTCGGTGGTCTAGTGGTTATATCGGGTGCCCACTACGGATGGGATCGTCCGATCGGGCCGATCGCCCGACTCGGTCGCCTCTAAAACATTTCAGGTGACTGAGTCGTGCGATCAGCCCGATCCTGCCATAGTGGGCACCCCGTATTAGGCCTCCGGGCTCGTAATCGTGAGATTGTAGGTTCGGGGGTTCGAGCCTCAGTACGGTCGGATGTTTTGTCCTTTGTAAATGCACTTTCTGTCCCCGTCGTTTTATGCTAGAAAAATTCTGAAATTATGCAAACTGAGCCTAAAATTGTGAGATTATGTGATTCTGTTAATTTTAACAAAGAATGATAAAGGAAAATGATCAGAAATTATGCAAAAAATGATCAAATTTTGCTAAATTATGCGGCGTGCATAAAACCACGGTGACAGACATTGCGCAAATTTCCCACTTGGCTCGGTCCTTTCGGAGACGGAGGCTTAATTAAAAGGTCCTACCTCTTAAATAACCTAATAATATTGATAAAGGCGTTAAACTCATACCATTTACCGTCTACTGTGAAAAATTGACAATGTCCTTGTGTTGTTGAACATTGTGCGCTGTGTCACGTTTCACGCTCAAGAAAAGTTTTACCAACAATTCACACCCCGACGATATAGCTTAGCCCCTTTATCTCCTGTGTCGTTTATTTCTCGTTGAAATACATCTGTCGAGAAGCTGTGTTCCTATTACGGGATCACATGTTCATATCCTTTTCATACTCAAACTGAGGAATCACTTTTCAGCTTGCATTGTGTAATATGGATCTTACCTGTGGTCTTAAATTCTCCAAAAAAAATTACTCAATATTCCTTCAGTTTGTAATGAACAAGGCTGCATCCGTTTTAAATTATTTAAGATACAAAACAGATGCAACAGTAGGTGAATTCAGGATGATAAAACTGCCAGCCGTATACCTCAGGCACGTCACGTTGAGCTGACATTTTCAACTAATAGCGAACATTTCAGGCCAGGGGGCGAATGGGAAACGGACGGTGAGCGAAATACAATTTTACGTTCGATTGACTTTAAAATGCTTTCTAATAATTTGGTGGTGGCAAGAAACACCAGGCGAATATAGCGGGGGTTTTGAAGCGTATGTTGGTAATATGTCGGTCAGAAAGGTTGCACTGGCAAAGAGCAGCTTTGACGTCATAGCCTACAGTATCGAATAGAGCTAGTTCAGGAAAGTTGAACTTCGGCTCAAATTAATTAATTGCAGCACTGTCGTATCATTATGAAGTTGGGGTTTTCCATATCTTTAAAGCTAATTCTAAAAATAGGATCTCTCCACACACACAAAAATGTAATACTATATATAT